ACCAGTTAAGTGATGAGGATGAAAGTGACGAGAATGAAATCATCCATGCTGTACCATTCAAGTGCACCAGTGCTGCTCATGAGAAAAACTACCAACATCATTTGGAACAGGCAATATACTTGCTCTTCATGGACAAGATAAACCAGTGAATGTAAGAATATGGCCAGAGCAATTGAATCCAATGGACCCAAGTGCAATTGATCTGGACTATATGGAACTGGATGGACACATGTTGGTTATTTAATATTGCTTCTGAACTATGCGAGTATTTGCACCCACTAATTGCCGCAGGAGATATCTTAGAGGTCTATGTTCAGCATATCAAGTATAGGGTTGACTTAAATTTTAAAATAGGATTTTATCCAAAAATTTCATTAAAGTAATGTGGTGAGTGGGAGACTCAAGTGGTAAAGAAGAGCATGAGTGTATGTTGACAGATGTTTGTGATATAATAGCAACTGACTAGGTTTAGCAAGTTATAGAAATGCTGTTATTTCAATTGGCTAACTTTTTAGATTTTTTGTCAGCATTTTTAAACAAAAACTAGGTTAATTTAATCACAAGTGGGTGCAATTAAAACAATGTCTGTCATTAAAACAATGTCTGTCAATTAAGTACATAATTGTAACATGTGCTGTACACTAAATGAATAAATAAATAGTTTATACATTCACTTGACCAACTTTGTGAGTAATTTTTCATTAAAATTAATGCAACAATAAAACAAAAATATGTCTATTTATATACATATTGATCCAAGGTCCCACAATAACATGCTGCTGATACTTTGTGGTACATTATATGAGAATACAAAAAAACCTGCATATAATGCACCTATCAATGTTAAGTCCCAGATGTGGGGTATTTAATCATTAATTGCATCCCCACCCTAGGGATTTTGATTAGGATTTTGGGCCCGAGTTAGGGCAATTTGAACCAAAATGACTTTTATTAATATAGTATTTAGAGCAGTTTATTGAAAAATGTTGGGGTATTTGGCCAATATTTATTGCCCAACAGTGGGACATTTGATTGAAAATTTGCTCAAAAAATCAAATGCCCCACATATGTCCGACCCCCCTCTGTGGAGCTTAACATTGATAGGTGCATAAGAACAACATTTCTCAAACTTTATCTGAATTAGTTGTGTAACAGCATTTATACAAAATACTGTTAAAAAAGGCCAAGTGGGCTATAAAGAGCATTCTATCCAATGGCATTCTAGGACCAATTAACATCTCCATGGCGTTGTTCTCCAAAGCATCGAGCAGCGATATAAATCAGATTGCCTTTTTGACCAGCATGAAGTACAGACATAGCCTTGGCAACAAGTGGGAGGAAATTTTGAGGGACATTTGAATTTAGCATCCAAACCAGGATTAAGTTTTACCAGCCATTTTTGAAACAGGTGGATGAGTAGTTGTTCTGGTTGTCGCTGGGTTAGTTTTGAAAATCCAGAAGTCATTATATCAATAACATTTACCAGAGAGGTGAACAAGTTTAGAACTACGAATTTAATGATGATGCTTTAATAATTCTTGCAGACAGAATCATTGACAAAAATAGAATCCACTAGCCAAAATCACGAATCTCAAATCTAAAACATCAATCAAACAATAAATTTCAGCAATAAAATATTGTTACAGAAGTGCTTTAATTACTTACATACTTTAAACAATACATATAAATCCATAATATATCGAGACTTCTGTAGTACATCAAATTTCTTTAGAAAAAAGCTAGTAATAGCAGTTCATTATTGATCTGAGTGACAAGGCAGCATATTTCACAAAGGGCTATATTCAACGGCGAATATCTCGAAAACGGTTGAGAGGCCGAGGGGGGCCGGCTGGATAGAATTAAAGATTATACTTTTATCTAACTAATCGTGAAAAAAATAGCGAAATCGAACCATGGAGATTTGATATTTTTGTCTTCAAAGATTGTTGACAGAAACGCCATTAAATTACATCGCGACGGCATAGCGCCTAAGTGAGAGGTCAAAATAAACTGGAAAATGACGCTTACCTTTTAAGATACCGTTCCAATGGGTAGATTGACTGTTGTAAAAGTAGTATCGCGTGAAATTTTCCAAAAAAATTGCATAACAATATGAAAAAAATCGATATTTATGAGCCCTATGTAAATTTTCGATGCTAAAAGCTTCGTGCGAGCATGAAGAAAATCGCGCAATCTGATTGGTCGAGATGTTCGCCTAATTGGCTGTCCAACCTCCTCTGAAGCATAGTTAACTTTAACTACTTTTTAACTGCAGTTAGCGTAGCCTGCGAACAGGCTCACTGGAAGAAAGGTGAGCCTGCACGGACCATGCGTTTTATTCAATCATCCCCTTTTCGCATCTGCTAAACGCGAACCAATCAGCGTCGACTGCGATAAATAAACTGTCAACTGTCAAATTGACGCAAGGCGTGTACATTGTGCAACGAAGAAATACTGAAAGTTAAAATGTATACATAATGTTATATGAACAATAATACAAAACACAATATCTCTGGCACAATATATTACTCAGAAAAATATAGAATTCTTCAAATATTAAATAGATATCAATACACATACAAATATAAAGCCGAATAAAATACTACCATTGCCATTGGGCCATTGGCATTGAATGTACAGTAATACTTGTACTATGTGCGACTGAAAGAACAATGTTCTGAATATTTGAAGCTATTACTAAAATACGGTCAGATAGATTGGGATTTGGAATACCGAATACGTCTAAAATTTTACTAACCCCACGAGTGTGCCAATAGTGGAAGCCGTATCGACGACGAAATTGTCAGCAGTTTATACAGTAAATAGTACAACGTTTAATGTACGATATATATTTATCTAAATGGCATGCCAGCGAGGATCAACAATATAATTATTCGTACATATTTGGGTATCTTTTGTATGCCTTCGCTTGCTGACTTGCTCACTAATGAGAATAATTCGTGAAGCCACGACGGGTCTAGCTATTTTGCGGGCCGCGGGCTGCGGGTCAATTTTTGCGGGCTGCGGGTCAGTTTTTGCGGGCTGCGGGTTAAAACAATTGCGGGCCGCGGGCCAAATTGCTGGTCTAACTAATTTTTTGTTGCATGCCATATATGGCATGCAACTTTCATTTGCGAGCGTACCGGTCGCGTGGCAAATTCGTAAAATATGACAAATACCGAGTTTTTCCGACGAGCATTTCATTACTCATGCTCGAGGAAAGGCAAAGAAAAATAATTGAGCACCTTTAAAAATAGATCAAGGTAGATAAAGCTTTGCTGGTTTTAATTTTCCTTATATTCTGTTATTTGTTGTGATTCTGGAGCAGTTGTGCTCGCAATAAAATATTAATCATAAAATGAATGATTATTTATCAGTCGATTTTAATATTTATATCGTGAAGCCTGGCTACGCTATCAAAATACTCAATTTTTTATATATGCTCAATATATACTATATTGTGTGCAAAACTTCAAAACAACAGTACATTTTGTAAATAGCATGAAATATATTAAAATATCAAACAAAATTCTCATTATACTATTGAAATTTAACACAACGAAATAGTATTCTACGTCGATAATTTCAATCATAGTTTAATAATTATTTTCAGTCTATAGTAATTCGCCGTTTCCATGTTTTTTTTTATACTTTCGATAAAGCTACAATAAAGCTAAATTTGTAGGAAATAACATTATTTAGTTATAAAATAGTATAAAAGGAAATCTAACAGTCAATCGCTTTCGATAAAACCTTGACCTTGTTTATATTACCGTCGTTTGCAACTAACGATGAACAGTCACTCATAAAAACATTGCCTATTCGCGTGAGAATCTTAAGTTTTCTTATTTTGACATAATATCTATTTTTCAATAAATATATTGATATTAAACTTATTGAATCAATATTTCAAGTTTCAGGCCAGTTGTACCAAAAGTTATAAGCGGTAGCGCATCATAACCAGGGCACAGAATGGTCATACCGAAGCCCATTGAATTTCTCGGTTTTTCCTATGATTTTCCAATGATTTTGGCGGTTAGCACTTTTTTCCATCCAGCAAACCGCCCTATCGATTTTCTAAAGTCGCTTTTTTGCATTTTTTTTATTAACTCGATTAGGATTAGGGTTAGAGTTGGGGTTATAGGGGTTAGAGTAGGGACTAGGTGTAGGGTTTGTGTTAGTTACATAGCCTTTTAAAGACCGCTTTCCACTTCAACCGTATCGTACATGCGTAAAAACGCTCAGGTTGAATGGTTGATGCAATACTGATGAAAACAGGATTGAACAATGTTTTGCTGCCCACATTGTTCATAGCTGTCAACAATATTGAATAATATTCAGGCTCAACAATAGTGTTCAATATTGTTGACAAGTGTGAACAATGTGGGCAGCAAAACATTGTTCAATCCTGTTGAGCAGCGGGCTCGGCGTTTTTTGCCGTGTACCGAAACGTAGCGTATTTCTTTGTTTCCTGAGCGCTAGAGTGGAACTAATGATTTCAACACAAAAGAAAATGCTACGATACGGTCGAAGTGGAAAACAGGTTTAACACCTCTTCTCTCTTCCGAAAATGACGTCAGGTCAGTTTGCTGGATGGAAAATAGTGCTACTATTAGGATTGGTGTACAGTTATCCCGGTCGAAACAGGTTTTAATGTCTGGTACGACTCATAAACTGAGATTCCATGATATTACAAAAAGAATGAATTTAAGGAAAAATTCGTATGCATATGATTACGAATAACTTTAGACATAGAATATACTTCAAAGACAGAAAATTTTGAATAATATTGTTATTTTCTTTACATTTTGACAATATTTTTTTAAAAATTCGTCAGGCCCCCAACTAGACCCGCGGCTTGCAATCGTGTTAGCATTTTTCTGCCCGCAGCCCGCATTTTTCTGCCCACAGCCCGCATTTTTCTGCCCGCAGCCCGCATTTTTTGGCCCGCAGCCCGCATTTTTTGGCCCGCAGCCCGCATTTTTTGGCCCGCAGAATAGTTAAACTCCTGCAAGATGGCCGACAACATAGAGCGATGAGTTACGGCTAACCCCTACCAACCTTAACCCAAACCCAATGGTGAACATCAACCCTAACTCTAGGGTTAACCTAAACCCTATACGGTTGACCACAATCCTACCTCTAGGGTTCAGGAAGTATGTTACCTTCAAGATGGAAAAGATAATGCACTCAAGTTTAATGCACTCTGCATAACGCACTTAGCAAGTTTATATTCTCAAATTAGAATTAGTGGCTTCTTAGTAGCAATTTATAGATCCTTCGTTCAGGGGATTCGACGAAATATTACCTGAATTGTTAATAATTCGGGTCTTCGCCCTCGGGCAATATTTCAATATTCACAACAGTTCTCAGTATAAGGACGATATTCAGCATTATACATCAGTATAAGCATGGAAATTATTCATCATTGAACTGCTATGACGTTAAGCTTAACATATACCACGGTAAATTGAAAATTGCCTACAATCTTACCAAAGCTTTATCAAAATCACGTAACGACGAGTACGCCTGGCCTCTTCTGAATAGAGCTTTAACGTTACTTTTTTCATAATGATCAAGCACCTACAAAATATATGACAATATAAATATGTCTCCTCATTATAACCACCATCCAAATCATGTTTTGCTGCTCAACAGTAGACTGGTTAAAGTGCCACTGACTATAACCCCAAATATGATTCTTGGCATGTGCAGTATTTGGGGCATTCTAAGAAGAAAAGTAATAGCGATTAAATGGAATACTTACTTCACTGCAATTGGTAACTGCCTCTTCATAATTCTTAAGTTTAAGATAACAAGCTGCGCTAAATATAATAATAAAACAATATTTATTAAGTTTAACTCATGTACGTACTGTACAAAGACTTTGAGTGAAGAAACAATTACAATTAGCATCAGGCTAGGGCTGGAATTTTATTACGGCACTCGTGGCAATTTGATCGCATAGTTCGAGAGGAAAATGCCGTGAATCAGTGTGGACAACGACGGCGGTTTTTTGCCGTAGTATAAATTTTTAGGGAATTGGTATTATATTAGCAGTCTGTACAAATCTTAGAAAATTTCTTTATGCCTTTGTGAATAGATGCTACTTTTTACAGTGTTGCTAACCGTAACAAATATCGTAAATACAGAAAATAAATTTCTACGATGCATGCGACATACATGACGTAATTGCCATGCATGGAGAGGTTTTATGGAAGTTCCAGGTCTGATGAGAATATCTGACCATGGTAACAACAAAATAATCTTTTTTACCTGTTTAAGTAACAAGGTAAGACCACCGTCATCGCTTTCTCTTTGTCATTTTTATTATCTTCATTATCAGATGAAGACGAAATGTTGGAATCAATGTGCTCTAAGTATCTAAAGGGACAACAAAATTATTGCTATTCATATAAAGTTTTAGATACTATTGAGTTAACTAACAGGCCTTAACATATCTTTTACAGGGTCGTCTGACAAAGGGTCCGATGACGTTAAGTTTGGGTCGGACATATGACCTTCAGTTCAGTTTTGACTCGGAAATAAGTCTGAATGACACAAATGAATATCAGCACAATGTATTAATTCTGAACGTTAAATGTTGTGAAGATATTAAATAATTTGTGTCATTCATACTTATTTCCAAGCCAAAATTAAGCCCGTTTTCCACTTCACCATTTCGCTCGCCGCCCCGCGCTCGATTAGCTACGTTAAAACAACATTTCCAGTTCACTTTTTAAGTTTTTATACAATACTCAATAGTCCTCTGATTTTCCATTTAACATACGAGCCTTACTGCTGATTGATTCACGTTGGACAAAGCTACAGTGTGGTCGGACACCAACACACTCGGGTCGGACAAACAATAAACTTCAGTTTCACTTATGTCGACAGAATGTCCGGCGGCTTCCTCTCTACGTCGGACAATTTCACGAATGGGTCGGACAATGTCCGTGACCGACCGATATTTTAAGGCCTGAACTATACTAATTTCCTCTTTACTGATCGAGCCTTAGTTAGATTTTTGGGTAATTGTCGAAGAAAGTGCTTTGTTAGAGGTACAAGTTCGGAACCAACTAAATTGTTCAAGAGCAGAGGAGCAAGAATTACATTATATCATGTATTCAGATCTTGCAGTATGACGTATCGTAAAAAAATCCGTCATTTTGGATGGCAAAAAAATTTTATTCAACCGACTGACTACACAGCTGTGAACCATTCTAACTCTTCAAAGTTCTCAAACAAAAGCAACAGCCGCAGTTAGTGCCACAGTCTTGCTTTGACGCCATGTTTGCTTTTAATTAACTATTTTAAATTTGCTACCCAAAATGACAGAAGTGAACAAATACGTGTGGTGACGTCATTTGCAAGAGCCCAATAGCCAAATTGATTATTAACTTCTTATTAACCGAGCGCGAGGTCTGTACAGAGAAATATCGGACCGACGTCTCTTTGTGCAGACCGACCCCGTAGGGCGAGGTTTGTACAAAAAGACCGAGGTCCGATATTTCTCTGTAAAAACCAAGCAAGCGAGGTTAATAAAAAGTTTATTATATGGCATTTTTAGACATTTATACTCGAAACAAACAAGAAATGCATGATTTGAAATGCATACTATAGTAGCGTGGTAAAGATTTGGTCGAAGAAAACAAAAATTACCAATGTATTCCTTCCTTTCCACTTAAAACCATTCGCAGATATCTTATTAATAACAAATTAAATTATAATTTTCAAATTTTTAATTAGTTTTGCTGTTTTGTTTTAAAATGCATGCGTTTGTTTTTACGTAATGGACCGCCGGTCCATTACGGGAAAATAACGGACCGCTGACAGTGCTTCTCAGCCAATCACAGTCCGCCATTTCACCGGAAGTGATGCTTGCCATATAATAATAACTTCTTATTAACCGAACGCGAGGTCTGTAGAGAGAAATATCGGACCGAGGTATTTTTTGTACAGACCAAGCCCCTAGGGCGAGGTTTCTACAAAAAGACAGAGGTCCGATATTTCTCTGTACGTATACCGAGCAAGTGAGGTTAATAAAAAGTTTATTATATGGCATTCATACTTGAAGCAAATAAGAAATGCATGATTTGAAATGCATATTAGTAGCGTGGTACACATTTGGTCGAAGAAAACAAAAAAACACTAATGTATTCCTTCTTTTCCACTAAAAACCATTCGCAGATATCTTATTATTATAATTTTCAATTAGTTTTGCAGTTTTGTTTTAAAATGCATGCGTTTGTTTTTTTACGGGCGGCCATTACGGGAAAATAATGGACCGCTGAAAGTGCTTCTCAGCCAATCACAGTTCGCCATTTCACCGGAAGTGATGCTTGCCATATAATAAATAAGATATTATATAGCTAAATATATTAACATGAACAAGAACAACAACCACAGACACAACGAACGATAGTTATTTAATTCCAAAAAGGCCAAACAAAACATTTAAAAGAGGAATTTCGAACTTCAATATACATGCATGTACACAACAGTTCTCAGTATAAGGTCGATATTCAGCATTAAACATCAGTATAAGCATGGAAATTATTCATCATTGAACTGCTGTGTTAAGCTTTATGTAGAGTCGTTTGAAATCGCTTGTCCAATCAGGATATTTATATACATAAACGTAACCATATTACGTATACAATCTATTTCAAATTACTATATAATACAAAAAATACCCATTATCCTGTCTACTGTAGTATGCCTTCTTACCAAAGCTTTATAAAAATCACGCAAAGACGAGTACCCCTGACTATATTTAGTTAGAGATTTCACATTATATATTTTACAGGTTGCTGCATCATACACACATGTTCGTAGTTTGTATTCTTCGCCAGGGGCGAATAGAGCTCGGCTATTTTGGGCGGAGCGACCAAAGTAAAAGTACACCACCCATGCAACTAGGGAGTCTGGGGAGCGGGGATTTAGACCAACCGAAATGGGATTTTCAGTCATTTGGAGTGCTGGTTGACAGTTCGTCAACAAAAAGTTAAAACTTGATTACACTAATAATTTCAAACATTCTTTACTCTGAAATGCAACATAAAACGTCATTATACAGTACACTACAATGGAAACTCCGACAATTTTCATTTTTATTATAATTCTACGTTTCCTCAGGAATTACGAAAGCAACTACTTTCATAACAACTAGTTGCTTTCATAATTCCTACGGATGACTATAGTCGAAACCTTGAATTACAATAAAAATGAAATTTTCGGAGTTCCATTGGCATTGTACTATATTTTATTAAAATACTCAGTGGTTAGCGCAAACGTCATTATATTTGTATTGAATAGACTATATTATTTTATAGCTTCAATCTTCAAATACTTTAACGGGAAATTCGAACATTTCTTACGTTTAACATTGGGGTGGGCGCTCGACACGCCCCTGTTCTTCGCAACCTACATTTTCCCTCAACGTTCGAGATTTTCCCAAACAAAACATTGCATGCATCCATCGCAGCTATCAGAAAAGACAAAAATGTCGATGAGCATTCTAGGGAAGACGGAAAGGAAAGACATAACGCTATACGATTACCACTTTCCTGAGAATGACAAAAGTGGTCTCTTAAAATGGGTTGTGTTTCGTTACAATATATTGTAACGTGATTTTTTTCTGTGTTGGTGTAATGTACTCAGGTGAATATGATGCTTGTGATGTTACTCTGAGTGTATATCCACACCGGGCAAACTTGAAAAGGTATTTCAAAGGTCGTAGATTCGATTCCCACCGTGGCCAGGCATATTTTTCAAGTTTGCCCGGTATGGATAGGTGTTCATCGGAAATCCGACAATTGGCTAATGTTTAAAATCCGATCCGAAATTGTCTAATCCGAATCCGATCCGAGTTGTGATAAAGAATTCCAATCTGATCCGATGAATCCTTTAACAAAATAAATTTCTCATTCAAGTTGAAATGTTTACCCAAATAAATATAAAAACAAGAAATACACGTCAAGAAGCTGACAAAGTGACGTCCAATTGAAGTATCAAACGAAAAATGCAGCGACAACCGCGATAATGCTTTGATAAATGCATGGATAATTCATTCTTGCAATAATACATCGATCCGATATGTATATTTTTGTTCCGAAATCCGAACGAATCCGATCGGATTTGGATCGGATTTGCACACCTCTAGTGGATATACACCCAGAGTAACATCACAAGCATCATATTGTAACGTATTCACAAGCTAAGGACATTATAGTAACGCTAGTTAATTCATTCAAAATTATACCTTATAGCTTTGAAATATTTCTTCAGCGCTACTTCGTAATTTCCTAGCTTGAACTGTTCATTTCCGATTGTTTTGATCTTTTCTGCAACCTCAAAGACCTCGCTAAACTAACAGGTGAAGAATGTATATGTGAGAACCATTTCAACTTCGAACATGAATGAATTATTACGAATAATTTTTTTCTAACAGTTAGTATAGTAATTAAAATGCCTGACGGAACAGAAAAGTTTATGATTTTGGTATTCCGTCAGCATGGTACTGTAAAAATAATTTTTTGTTGGTATCATGCAGTATTGAGAATAATTTTAGTGGATTAGTGTCACACCATGGTATCGCGGGCTCTTGCTGTTTTTATATCTTAACCAAAATCAACAAATAACTATAAAAATACCTTGTTTGGTACATTTCCAATAAGAATCAGATAAGAGAAGCAAGGATTCTCAGAGGGTGGTTTAAATATAAGACGGATTGAAAAACAAATTTTCTAGATCTATTGATCTACTCGGCCCATAAAATGGCGGGCAGGAGAAATTTTAGCCCGCAATACGATGGTGTGAAACTACTGTAATCTTTTAAATGTAAAACACTTTGCTGATTTTGTAGTTGAGATTATGTTCACTTCTTCTATTTATTTTGCTGTGTTAATTTTAATTTAATTTGCTTCAAGGCAGCCAAGCGGATACGCGGCTCAAACTAATTGGTCTGGAGTAAATAAGGGGAAAAGAAGCATGAATGTATAAACTTAGGCTTTTTCCTTGCGAGAAGAAGTCTGAAGAAATTATACTGAGTTTACACTCTCGTAATTTTCTTTACATCTTTTGCTAGAGCTTGGTGAAGACAATACAGACTATTTCATGCAGTCTTTCCAATACAAGCAGTCAAAATGCGTTTGACCGCGCGGTGTTGTACCTTAGTAAATTGAACGTTCGATTCCTCTGGGTGATCTGAATATGTATCTCCAGTTCCATCATCCTTTACGGTCATGATGTCCTCTTCTGCTAGAACCTCTCCACAATCAGCTATGACACACGGCTGTGGAGAACAAACAACATATCATACAGTGTACAATACACACACGCATAATATACCCAAATATGTAATATTTGAAGATGGTGATATTGGAGTGGGGAAGGAGGTAATAAAAACGAGGCATAATTGAATCACTACACAAACTATAAATTCAAAATGACCTCAAGAGTTGTTCTGGAGTAAAATGTGACCGCAGAACGGCTCATGACATTTGAGTTAATTTATTTCTTTTCAGTTTTACAGTCTGCTTAATGAATTTGATACATAAACTGATGAACATACTGTACAACGACCCCTACAGCAGAGTGAGAATCATCTGAAACGTTAATTTCAGTTTATAATTTCATTTTGCTCAAACAAATGAATGACACCATCATGATGGCATGATGTGTCCAGTTATCAAGAGCTGGCAATGTCTGACCATGATAGCAGACGCATGTACGCTTAGCGTACCTATTTTGTCTATTGTGCCAGTTCTAGGTTAATTATACTGTACTCTGCCCAAGTTCGCCAATGTAGTTGAATGTTCGACTTATAGTTTTAAATTACCTACCATTTTCGGCTTTTCGCCTTCTTTGTCAACATTTTC